TATATAATTTAATAATCTATCATAGGTCTGGCTTGTTTTGTTGCTTGCTGATGGTTCTTGTTATTGAGAATGAGAATTTGCTCATTGACAGTTTGCTATATACTGTTCATTTTTTTTTTTACTTAAACATGTTCGAAGTAAATATATACATATGAAAGGAAACGTAAGGATTGCCACTGTCTATTCATATTCATCAAGGTGGTCACTTTCTTGAAGATGTAATGATATCAGCTGCCCACGAGATGGAGCTGATTAGCTGAGTATGATTGACTATGGCTTGGTCGCAAATGTTTTCTTGGTATTATAGACAAAGGTATGTGTAGGTTATAGTAAACAAAGGTAAAGGTAATAAATAAAAGGGCAGTATGTGGTGAGTACTGACAGTGAGAGCCACACACAAGGACACACTGAACACCACTTTTTCCATACAATCCCAGGAAGAAAATGATCGAAATCACTCTGTTGTCAAGAGGAAAATGCTCACTATACTGCAGTGTGGTTTGCAATGTTTTGGGCCAACAAAAAATGTGTCCTCAGACCAGCATGTCACTCTACAGTACTGGGACCGTATACGGACATTACATTGACGACACTGTTTGATGTTAAATCTACCATGAAATGTCTCTTTTGCAATGAATTTTTGTGATGAATGTTTAAAATATTTCAGTGAGTGATAAACTTTGTTTTTGAACTTTTTAATAGAGATATATAAAGTGTTTAAAGGCGCAGAAAGAGACCATGAAAGAGACAGACACAACATTAGCCTATAAAACAAGCCGACAACCATGCTAGAGGCTGTGTGAGGCTGTGCTTGAGCGGAACGCTAACACTCAAAAAGGCAACGTTTAGAGGGCATGTAAACATCTTTAACATGCATTCTTACATTTGGACTAAACACATAGCACAGCTTAGACTATGGAAATGTCACTAGTTTTGCAGGTATTTAGTCATAAATCAAACAATGGACAATTTTGACCTGATGATGGCGCTTCATGAAAAAGGTATTAATATTACTCCTGAGGGGAACGTGAATGTCTGGAAGAACATTTTTTCATTTTTCATTTAATGCAACAGATATTTCAGTCTGGACCCAAGCAGTGGACCGACCAACTGATATTGCCATCCCTAAAGTCAACGCACTAGCACATCACAAAAACAAAGCGAAAAGTGCATATTGACATGTTTATATAACAAACTTAAATTTTATATAGCTGCTACCACTTAGGCGAATGCATTCACACATGCATGCATTCACTCTCTCACACACACACGCACACACACACAACTTCACAAACACATGATCTCCATGGCAAGCATGAGTAATGAAAAGGGGCGTGACTAACCCACACCAACGAAAGAGGAAGTGTTCGCTGAGATCAATGATGCCTTCCTCAAGTGTGTCCCACAAATAAATTGGCAGGCCCCAGGCTAGCGTCGGGCCACTTGTGGAGCATCTGTGCAATCTCTAAGTGAGACGTGTCTCACTGCATGTCAGTTTGTTTACGTAGATTTGACACTATGGGCAGCCTGGTGTGATTCATAAAGCAGTTAACCTTTTCCAATGACGAGCAGAGAAGTCAAAACAACAGGTCAGCTCTGCGTTCTGCAGCATTTAACATCTGATTTCCTCCATGTGGTAAAACACAAAGTGCACTCCGCTCTCTTAAAGCTGCCCCAGTGGCGAGTGAATTAATTAACTGAATGTGCTGCTTTTTTATTGTTTATTTTTGTGAGGCACTCGATTACTTGTAACTCAGTTCCTCAGGGAACCCGGGCTAATGGAAATTTAAAAAAAACCATTGCATTTATTTTTTCCCCCCTGTGGAAATCTGATTCTGAAAAACATACGTTAATTTGCTTTGGAAACATATAAAACAATCATACTTAACTGACACGTTTCTGTTTCTCTTCCCCGAAGAAAAAATAAGCTTTAAATAGTTTAAAACACTGCATTTAACGGCCTGTTAAAATAACTGTTTTTGCAGTAAAGCCCCTGTGGCCTGTTTCATTGCACAGAGAGATGTAATGTTGCCTCAGTTAACAGCCTGTCTGTCTGATTGTCTGTCTGTCTGCACATCCCACCACTCCCATCCTGTTTAGAGGGCTTTCTTTTGACAGCCTCCTCACATAAAGGAGGCCCCGTCTGGGGCTTTGAGAGGCTGCAATAGCCCCGTGTATGACAGATGGATGGATGGATGAGGTAAGCACAAAGGAGGCTGTAAATTAGATGTACATAGCATACCCTTTTTCCTGAAGCATGACACTGTGTCTTGATCAGCCATGCATGAACAAAAAAACAAAAGTCAAAGTCAGGCAGGAATTACTGTCTGAGAGATAGAGGGAGGCAGACAGGACGAGAGGAGCAGGAAGATGGTGAAAAAAGAAACCAGAGGGACTCCTGACACTTCCACTGGATCTCAGCCAGAGGCAAACAAAAGGCAGCAACACACACACATACCATGTAAGCATTAAAAAGCAAAACAAATATATAAAAAATATTATTGGTGGCCTCGATGCAGAGAACATTTCCATCTTCTAGTCTTATTTTCTGAATCCAGACATCAAATGTTCCATTTCTACATTGTCATTTGTTAAATTATTGTGTGTCTCGCTTGCATCAGCAAATTACAAAAGATTGGTACAAATACTGATTTAGAATGGTGGTTCTGATATACGATCTTAATAAACTCCTGCCAACCGATCAAAAACAGGTATTTATTTTGTATTAATATGGCAGATAGAACACACTGCTTTGTGCTGTTTCGTCGCTTATTCCCCCGGTTTTGTTAATAGTTTGTACAAATTGAATTGCTTTCCCAGGCTTTGGTAGAACACGTGATTGTTGTCAGCTATCAGCAGCAGCTTTAATGATTAGATTGTGCTTGTAGTGTGTGGATTAGGCTGGATTGAGGTGCTAGATTGGCTCTCAGGGTTGTCCCTCTCACATACACACACACAAACACAGGGCCGCAATCTTTCCCCATGACGATCAATAAACCCAATAGGAACTTCAGGCAGCAAACTCCCGAGGGTCAAGAGTGCTGCCCGTGTATGAGAGAGAGAGAGAAATATAGAGAGAGAGAATAGGAGGGTGACAAACAATGGATGTGTGTGTGTGTGGTAGAAATATCATAGAATAGAAATATAACTGTTACGTAGCTAACAGAACTAGCTCACTGACACAACTAACACCAACGTCAGTTAGGTAGCTAGAAGGGAGTAAAAGATGTAAAATGGTGGACATACAGTATATGGCCTGACTGTTGATTCAACTTCTGTTTCATAATGATGCAAACTAAATGATATTCACTAAAATAAATTCAATATACCTTTAAATTACAAAATGTAAGGCTAAAAACAGTTTGCTTAATTGGATGGTTCCTTCTAAATCTTGACAACATAAATGCTACTAACTCTGAAACACACAGATTCATCCATGCATTCATAAATAAAGGAATGTTTTGGCTTTGTTTACACATAGTAATAATTACAGTTACATAACAGTCATAACTTAGACATCCTTGATGGGACAGTTCACCCCAAAAATACATATAATTCCTCTAACCTTTAGTGCTATTTGTCAATCTAGATTGTTTTGAGTTGCCTAATTTTGGAGATATCGACTGTATATATTCCTAAACTAGAAAACTCACCAAAACAATCTTAATTGATGAGCAGCACCGCAGGTCAGGGAGCAACCTGACTAAGTAAACTACTAGCTTGAAGCTAGGAGTTGCTACAAACTGAGGAAAGACTTTCCACATAAAGGTAGTGAAACGTCCAAAGGTTATCAGCGAGGACGACGTTTTATCTTCGAGTTCCTTCTTCTTTTGACATTTATCCGTCTCTTACTCTACTTCCTCGTCTGTATTTAAAGTCCCAAACAAGAACAGCTTAAACTGATAAACTGGCTGTAATCATTACACCGTTAACATTCATCTCCATATCTGGCGTTTCACCTCTGTGAGCAGACTCCCTTCGCTCTGTCTGTGCGGCAGAAAGCATGTGGGGAGAGGGAGAGAGGTGGCTTTCTGTCTCATAACATAATACAAGTATTAAATATACATTGTATAGATATAACAAACTCAGACAGAGCCTCACACTCAATATGGGGGCTATTTCTTACAGCCACAAAGAACATTTTCACCCTGCTCTGAAAACAGCTCATCGAAGAGCTGTGCTAATTTTGCTTTCAGATCACTCTCTGCTTGGTACTCGTATAAATATCACTATGACATAAATAACAACATGTCTTGGAGGATGAAGAAGAATGTACTTACGCTTTACAAAGTATCTTACAGAGCAAGTCCAAGTGTTTTCGGGGCCTTAAGCTCCACACTGGATCTTGTTTGGAGGACAAAAGGTTGCAGCACTTTAACGTCTGTGGGTTGAACATTTCCGGTCTGTTGCACATCTGACCATGGAAACGTTTTCACTGTTTTTCTCTGCAGTAAAATTGTTTGACTTATCTTCCGCCTCCCGTCATTTCTAGAATCCAATTGGATGCATGTTGTGGAGGTCACGTGCACAAAATCACATGCATGAGCCCTGTTTGGAAGTGGGAGCGAGGTGCAGGTACTCCTTTAAGGATTTGTTAAACCAGGTAAAACTTGTTCAGCACTGCGTCATACTGTGACAAATGTACATCTAAAAAAATGCATATGAAAAAAAAAATAGGATATTAAAATGTTAGGATACACCCCGACTTCTTCACAGAAGTCTGTGCTCATTAAGTAATTCCACGTAATCAAATTTAACCCTTGAAAGATTTTAACAAGTCCTCTTGGAAGTTTTACCCCATTTTCCGTTCCACTAAGAAACATACGAGATTACAGAAGCTCGAACTGCATTTCCACTCTGGTTTTCAAATCCTTCGGGGCCCGGGGTGAACTCTACAGATTGTACACATCAAGTTCAGTTTACTCGTCATGATTAGCACTACTCGGCCAGAAAACCCCTGGATAATATCTTTTTGGTTTCTGAAGAGACTTTTCCAAAGTTTGAGTCAATAACCCCGATGACGTCATAGTGATGTCATCAGGGTTATGTTGGTTTTGGATTGAAAACAGAATTTTTGTGTTTTGTGTTATGAACTGGGGGCATGGAGTTTGAAAGTTTTGAGCATTGACTTGTCAGGAAGGGTCTAATGAAAGATGCTATTGAGTTGCATGATGGGAAATGAAGGATCCAGTGTCCCTGGAGCTTGACTCATGCTAGGGGCTAAAAGTCAGGACATTTCAGCCCCTGATGCTGTCTGCTGCAGAATTTTTGGGTAAGTGTGACTTTCAGTTCTGGGGAACTTCTCACAAATAAGCCAAATTGTTTAAACAATGTTAGGCGGCACAAACTTCATCCAGCCTTCTAACTGTGCCCCAAACTTGGTGATTTATTATGCAAAGAAGCCTAGATTCCTTTGTAAAGAATGAATAAATGCATCATCTTTGAATTATTTAACGGTGACAAGACCTGTGTGTCTTTGCTGATTGGATGTTTGCACTGCTGTGGAAGTTGGGTAAATAAAACAGCCTCATCATGCAGTCGTCTACATTCTTGGATTCTTCCTCCATCTTATTCCTGACGGGCTTCAGCTCATCTCGACACGTCAACAAACACGAGGCCGGCGACACACGGATCTCCATGAATAAGGACAAACACAGATGAATTAAACATCAGAGCAGCTTCCATTCTTGAATCCTCGCCACCGCCGTCTCTCTGCGTTTGGTTCTCTAGAAACAGACGATCTATCAAACGGAGGCAGGACACACAAGGGCCCATCTATACTGAAGACTCTCACTGACTGGAAAAATAACTGTCAAGGACATCAGCTTCGTCAAAACAGGAAGTGTACTGGTGGGGCTGAGTGGGAGTCTGGCTGCTGTCGTCGCAGGAACGAGACGAAGGAAACGCATCAAAGACAGGATATGCCCGGAATAAATGAAGAGAGGCTTTTTCTACGCAGAGCAAAAAAAAAGAAGTGACATTCATCTTTAAAAAGACACATAAACACACACCACAAAAGAAATCATGATTAGGTCTATTTTTTTTTGTTTAAAACGATTACAGTCATTACAGGAGTTATTACATCCCCACTTTAAAAACAGATGCATTAGGAAGATAAAACAAAAAACAAATATTCATTCACTTTGATTTGTGTAGCATATTTGCATCATGGATAAATACTTAAAGATGTAATTTGCAGCACTTTTAGAGTATAGATCGATAGAAAGTCCCGGGTTTGCCTTCCGTCTGTGCCTCGGTGTGCAGTGTTTAACTTCCTTCATTCATCACAATCACTGCAATGTCGTCGACTGGCTTCACAAAGACAAACGCACACGATTCAACAACATAAAAAATAGAAAGCTGGACCGTTTTTCTTTTTCTTTTATCAAATTAACCGAGGCAACTAAATAACACAGCTTGCCATAACTACATTCTATGACTGAATATCAAAATAAATCACTTTCCTTCATTTGTTAGAGCAAGACCCAATTTGCATATTCACAGAGATTGTAAAAAAAAAAAAAAAAAAGAGCGATAGAATATTTCCATAAAATGTACACCACTGTTCCTTCATCAGAAAATACAATACAAATCGACCTTAGTGGTTCTTAAAATATGCACGACAACTGAATAGAGCTGCTCCGATTGTCTCAAAAATGCATTTAGCTTCTTTTCTTTACACTTTGCTGAAAGGGAAGAAACAAGGCATTTCAGACAGTCCGCCGCCCTCTGAGCAACCCTCCATCTCATCTTATTGCTTTTACCATCGACTAAATATACGCAGCTGTCGTCAGGCGGGAAGTATGCGTGTTTGGTTTTGGTCGGTTTCGTCAAAACCTCTCCGATTCCTGGTTTCTCCAGGTGTGTAGCAATCATCTGAATGACTACAGTGGTATTATATGTGGTTAAAATATATCTGAGATTCAAATGACAGATTACGAGATAAAACACGCTTTAAGGCCATGAAAACAGATTTTGTGTGATGGGGGTCCAACATGAACCGAACATTTCTTTCCAATGAGAGAATCCCGTATTTTTGTTTCTCACTGCTTTAAAGTGGACTCAGTTGAAACAAAGGTGATGTCATGTATTTCCATGCACCAATCAGGAATCAGCAATATTGCGAGCACCGTCAATCAAATGTGATCAAACCAGAGCTTTTCAGCATCAAACTCTCACTAAATAACACTTTTATTTTGAACTTTAACTTTGATTGTCATTAATTAATATTTAATGTTGTGAAATAATTTGAAACCAGGTTTTCAAGGAATTTAAATTTGTACTGAGGCATCAAAAAGATTTAAAAAACAATTTCAATATGGGTGATTGGTTACGTTTTGGTGATTATCAGTATCAGATCATTTAGTTTAGATCTCTACTCTTGGTTGCTTCACTGCATTTATTTTCATAATATAATTAAACTCGTTCCCCCTGAAGGGACAGATCGTGCAAACCTCTAAATATTCCCACTGAGGTCTTATCCAGCAGATTGTATTGTTTTGGAGATATCCACCGCTGAAACATCTGCCGCCCCAACACAGTGGAGATATGACGTTTGAAAAATTCAACAGCAGCGTCTGTTTCCATAAAACAGGCACTCTGTACATTCCACCGTCCTGAGTGCATCTAAATCAAATTAAACTCTTTTAAGTTGAAGATAGAAACGCAGTAAAAGGTTTGAGGATTGCTCGACGCAACCATTAAGGAAAATCATTTTTTTTTGTAATGTGGTTTTTCCTGTGGGTGCCAGCTGTTTTGCTTCTGCTTTAAAAGTAAATGGGGACATTTGCAGTATGTAAGAAAGAAACAGGAGACAGACTGAGAGAGACAAAGCTTCCTTTCTCTAGCAGTCCAGCTCCACATTCCTCTCATTCTGCCGGGCACGACCTGACCGCAGCTACAGTGTCTGTCTCGGTGTCTTCTGGGAAATGTCTTGCCCTTTTTTTGAAGTCAGGAACTCCCTGCAAGGACACAGTGGTCACTTATAGAGGCCACTTGAGGATCTCTTTTAGAAAATCGGGTTATTTTTAGGGTCTGGATTCGGCATCTGCAAGCTTGCTTTCCATATGTGTCAAGATGCTCAGATAATAGTGTAACTTTGATTGTGCTAAAACAACCATTGCAGCCTGATCCTTTCGGTGACACAGTGATGAAGTTGAAGCATATGGACTGAACCAAAAGCAGGTTATTTCCCCGTTAGTGTCAGCTGACCTTTGAGCAGCTGCACACATCTGACTGAGTCAGGAGGGTCAAGAGATCTTAAACAAGATGTGAATCGCTATTAAATTGTTTAAAATGCTTCAACTTTTGGTTAAAACTTTTTCCTTAGTAGAAGAAGTGAAAATAAAAAGAGAAATAATCACATCTTCTGTATGAATTATTGCTTCTTTTTTTCAAAAACAAACACTTTCTGACTGAGTTGCTAATTCATGTCTTTGGTCTGTCACTTAATGATGTGCTTGAATAAAATACACCTCCTTCATCGCTCTCTGTTGACAGCTCATTATCTCCTCTGTCTTTTGCTCAAAAACAACGTTTCACCAGCCCGCCCCTCCACATGCCGCCCGTCCGCTCATTCATCCTTTCATCCCGACTCGCTGTCAGTTTTGTTCGGGGGTGTAATAAGAGTCTACGTTAAGTTCAGCCAGACAAAGGAAGACTGGAAGCCATTCTCATCTTGGACCAGAGATACACACATGTAAATAACCTCAGTCTGGTTGCTCGGTTTTGTTTCTACTAATATTTGCCTAATTAAAGATTTAAGATGAGACAATTTTTAACTGTTGCAAACGTACACTACCTGGGGTCAATAGGTAAAGTTTCAATATTGCTGATTATGATGTATTTTCGCAAAAAAAATACTCCTTTTCTTGCTGCCAGAGCTTTAAAAGGTCCCTTTAAGGGTCACAGTCCATGCCAAAGGCCTGTGTAGCATGAGACAAGATCTAAAACTCCAAAAAGGGGTCAGAAGTGATGTAATATGAATGAAGCTACGGGTCAAAAGGCTTCCAGTCCTGACAAACTCTGCGGGATATTTTGTGATGACTGAACTGAAAGCGAACTCCCCCCAAAAAACAGTCCATCTCTAACACGTCCGCATTCCTTCAGCCTCCCCCGCTCGTTTCCACACTGGAAATACTATTACACTGATGAAAATGATGCTAAAACTTAGTGCTCTAATTATATCAAATGCAAATTACATTTCTATATGACACATGTTAGTTGCGGTTTGTAATTGGTTTCATTGTAGCAGCTTTTGTATAGTATGGACTACAAAGTGACAATCATGAAACAAATATCCCTCTAAATGGCAAAAAAGTGTCTGGAAATCAATGGCATGATAATATAATAACTTAATGCTGATAAATAATAGAACAACCCATACATCGATAGTTGTAACGTTTAACTTTTTCAGGAAGAATGAAGTATGAAGTTTTTTTACGATTGCCAGTTATTCGTTAACGGGATTTTACATTTTCAGCCCATTTAAAGGGATATTTCATCACATTGATTACATTCATTATTGCATTATCTGGTATTATTGCATTGTTAAAGCAGACATGACACGTTATAAAACCTTGGAAAAGCTAAAACATGATAAATAAGACTATGATGATAAAATTATATTCCTTAATAGTCATGTGTTCTATGGTTGAAATGTTAATATTTGAATTCTCACTGCACCATCAGGAACCCTTACCTCCAACACGTTTTCTCTCTGTTGCTACTCCTTCATTATCTGGTGCTGGTCAGCTCTGTGTTCCTATCATCAGGGAGAAGCTGGTAGTGTCTCTCAGCTATGTTGGAGGGCCACATTGTACATGACATTTAAACTCATCCACACATCTAAAAAGATGCAAAAAAGCAAAAAAAAAAAAAAGCAACAGATCTGGCCCCTGCCCGGATTCCCGGAAGCCCTTGTTCCCTTTTCTTAAAGCATACCCTGGAGCAGGGAGAGTTAAGTATTTCAAAGTGGCAGTGAATGTTTGATCCACAGTACTTATTATCAGTCTGTTTGAATTACCCCTTGAGCCGCTCGCGTTGGAATTAAGAGCAAAACATTCAAACTTTTTGAGACATACTGGACTGGTATCTGACTCTGGTTGTGCTCGTTACTCAAACGACAGCAGGTCCGGGTGGGACTCTAAATCATCAGTGCTCCCTCCGGTGCCTTTACTGCAGGGGGCTCCGTTACCCAGCGGGAAATCCTCGCCCACGCTGATGCGGCAGGAAGTTTTCCCCGAGCAGGGTGTGGAGGCCAGCCGGGAGTCCGACCCGGATGCCTTCTGCCAGACATCGCAGGGCTTAGCTCTGGGCTCCAGGGGGGGATCTTTGTTGATGAGGTCTGGCACAGAGCGCTGCAGCTGGGGCTGATGCTCCTCTTCGCCTCCCATAGTGCTCCCGTTTTCCACTACATCTTCTTCTTCACCTACCACAACTTTGCCGTTGCTTCCTTTCGTCTCCCAACGATCAGCAACAAATTTCTTCTCTGCTGGGCCAGGAGGCAATGTGAGCTCCTCCGACCCCTCGTCCTCCTTCTCGCCCCGCTGCTGCTCCTCGCTGTTCTTCAGCTCCTCCTTGGCGATGAGGGGCGCCTTGTCGGGAGAAGAAAGGAAGGAGGATGACTCAGCAGGGTCCGGAGAGGAGACCACGGGGTCAGAGGAGATCATCATGTCCTGGGTGGTCTTCAGCGCCCGAGGGAGGCGCTTCTTCCCCGATGGGGGTGGTGGGTCCAGCCGGGGGAAGGAGTCAAAGAAGGAGATGTGACTGGAGGAGGAGAGGATGAATTGGGAGGTGGAGAGTGATGGGGAAAGGAGGAGAAAGCGAGAGACATAGAGGCAATTAGTTAAACAGAGGTCAGAAGTAAGAAGTACCAAAAGTTCTGGTACTGGTACACATGCTGCGTTTAAGTGTTATGAGGTCTTATTAACCTTGTTCTGTTTTCAAAAGTGTACGATCATCTTTTTTCTACATTTATTCTTCTTCTCATGTAACTCTCGGAAAGAAAGCATGGGGGCACCAGGGGTCATTGCAGGGTCGTTGCAACTAGCCATCACATCCAAAGTGAGAGCTATGTCGGTATACTTGGAACAAAGGCAAAGACGTTCCCAGTGGGTGTTGTCCTCCGCCAGATTTAGATAAGCGGAAGATAATGGATGGATAGATGATCGTTCATCGGAGCTGACGGGGATGCACTCAAAGACAATTCATTTCAATAAGCACTGCTGTGCAGTCTGAGAATGTGAAGAGCACAGAAAGTCAGCTCTCAGCTCCATGTGTATGAACAATAGGCTGGTGTGTGTGTGTGTAGTAGGGGGTCTATCTCTCCTTCTCAGGCCATTAGATACCAAAATCCGCTACAAAATGATGGAGTTACTGCAATAAATCAATGATTTCCGCAATTCTTACCTCAAATACTAAATCAGAAATACCACGGAAATTACGTCTTGGGCAGTCAAAAACTGGATACATTTTTAGTCCGTCACTATGGATATCTTTTCTCTAAAATGCTGCTTTGGGCTGGGTATGTTTACCTCACTTCCCGGGTCACTGTCATCACTGAGTTTGTATTTTCAATAATGCTGGATTGGTGCATGTTCTTATACGAACAACACAGGCTTCACTGTCAGTTGTGCCGTTAACTGGGAGAAGTTACGAGGCAGTGGGATGTAGCATTAGCTGCTCGTCTTGTGTAACGTTAAAAACATCCGAAGAGGACTTTAAGTATAAGTTTAATAACACTTCATGGATTTTATTGTAAGGCATCTGAACTTAGACTTCAACGTCTATGTAATTTGAACATCTTTATCAATCTTTGTATACTGCTTAGTCTTGAAACTTTGATGGATCGTTCAATTTTATTTCTTTATCCTCTTTTCCAGTACGACTATTGATATCTAATGGGGGAGGATCTTTACGGGTACGTTTTGGCTTCTAACCTCTCTCATATTGATTTGTCCTGAATTTCATGCATCCAAATCTCTGATCATGTCATTAACCATCCGATACTGGAATCAATTCAAAGATAAGTGATAGATGAGGTCTTGCTCCTTTCATTTTCAGTCGATTAAAGAAAAAAAGAGCCCACTGCATCGTTGCATCCAGGTTTCAACAGTAAGTGCGTCATGAGCTAAAATATCTCTCAGCTCCACTCGTCCGAACCAGTAAAATAATCCTCACGCATCACCACCGGTAAATGAAACTTAATCTATTCACATTGCTGGAAATGACTTCTGCTTGATCGATCTTCAGGAGAGACAACAGATCAATGCTTTCTGGAACAAATCCCCAAATACAGACAACACAGAAACAACCTGGAATGTATGTGCGCGCATGTAAGCAGGTCATGAATACACAATTAAAAGGCATTTACATTTCGACTGTACAAGAAGATGAAAAGTTTAGTCTTATTCAATTTCAGACGTCTCACAGGAAATGTTTTGATGTGTCATTAATTCAAACCACATTTCACAGGAAAAATCTTAAATCATTCACCTTTTCTGCGAGCTATAATATACAGTGATAGACATTTCTCTCAGCACAGGTAATTCAATATTTTTGCCTACAATAAGATAATGTCTGCCAGTGGCTATATCATTAAATTGAACGAGTGAAAAGTTCCATGAATTTTACATATTCACCCTAAAAATAAATACATGCAATACAAAAGTGCTACAAAATGATACATTTCATCAGTGAGGTCTTTGAGGCACAAGTTTGCAAATTCATTTAAGATGATCTTAGGTTCAGGTTTAGGGTTGAGATTAAGTTTAGAAGAGGATAAGTTCTAACGGATCACGTACTTTCTTCACAACGCGCACATACAGAGGAGATATGTGTATGTGTACCTGTTTGCAGTGGTCTGGTTGAGTTGGTCCATACAGCTCCACACCGCATCAACGTTCTTGTTGACCTCAGTGACCCCGATGTCTCCGAGGTGACTGGGCTCCTTTCTTCTTAACAAGTCGTTGACCTCAATGAAAAATAAAGAAAGACAGAAATCTGCTTCACTGACGAAACACTAAAGACATTAAAATTAACATTACAACCCAAATATCAAGAGGAGAAGAGGAGAACTGCTGCTTGTGCTGTGCTCACCTTTGCGCCGACAGCCTTGCCCAGATTAATGGCGTTTTTAAGCCTCTGTTGGCCACCAGAGGAAGGAGAGTCGACAGAGCCGGAGCCCAGGTTATGATTGGCTGATGCTGGGGAGCGCCAGGTTGAGGGCTGGCCCGACCTAGAGGTCTGAGGACTCTGCTGCTGGGCAATGGAGTTCTCAAACATACTTTGATCAACTGTGAAAAAAGGAGAGAAACAGGAGAAAGGAAGGACGATTAGGTAAACACAGAACAGGACTTAACAGAAAATGTGCTTCTGCTTTTAACAGCACATGTTGTTGAAAAGCTTCAAGCATTAGACAACACAAATGGGATGTTTGCTTTGAGAATGAGATGCAAAAAACTCAGATCTTGAAGGCAAGTGAAAGGAATACTCCACTGAAAATACAGCCGCTGTCCTCCACAAATTAAGCAATCTATAAACATTTAAGGGCCCCATCTCGAGCCTAAAGGGGAGCGAGTATTTGATAGGTTTTAGTGGAGTATTCCTTTAAGTGACCACGTCATGTCCCTCTGGCTTTGCTCCAGACAAACTGACGTTGCATCATGTTTCATTTAATGAGAATGCATACAATGCATTTGGGGCCAGACGGCAGTGCATTAACATTGTATGTCATGAATCATAGAATAATAGATACAACAAAACGTAAGGCATTTGCAATGACACATGCACATAAATAGAAACACCACCAATGGAAATAAAGCGGAAGTTGACCAAAATGCAGGATCAGAAACAGCAAAACATAAGGGGGAGCTCAGGTGAATCCACTTAAGATAGAAGATCTTACCTCTTGGAGAGAAAATGTTTCTCGGAAGGCATTTAATGAGACAGAAGTATCACATTTCAGATCATTTTACCTCTAAAGATGCAAATTATTGAGCTTAAAAGGCAGCTGATCCATGTCTTCCTAGAAGAAGACAAGTCGTGGGGAGGTCATAGCTAAAAGTCTTGACCTGCATAAACATATCTGAAAGGTACATTTGTCTTGGCCAGATTAATGTAGAGGAAAATATGGCCAATTGGAATCAGGTTGAAGCAGCCAACCTTAACTTCACTTTGCACATACAAACATTTCACTTGCTGTACCAATCAAGAGATCTACAAAAGCACATTAGCCAGAGGAAATGATATATTATGGACCAACGTGATACAGAGGGCATTTAGAGTAACTTCAAGGAGGGAGGGAGGGAGAGAGAGAGAGACACACAGAGACAGAGAGAACAGAGAGAGAGCTGTACATTTATTTTACAGGCCGCAACATGCAGGCACTTATTAATGGGAGTCGTCAAATCGATTGCTACAACAGAGAGGTGCAAAGTGAAACAACAGTTGATCTTGCAATGAATGTAATCATATCATAGATTGTGTGTCTTTGTGTTGTTTTGCTATCTTATAATGTAAGAATATTGCGTTTGCATCCCCACTGTCTCAATGCAGCTTCTTCTTTTCTTTTTTTTTTTTTCCACACAGTACTGATGCATGTATGAAGACGGCCTTAGTGCTATTACTCTTCTGTAAAATTGCACTGCATTAGAAAATGTAAAGGACTGCATTGGTCGTGGGTAAGATGAGATATGATCCAGTTAGTCCATTTAGAATAATACATTTGAAGCAAAACCCGCTAACTGACAGTAAGCAACCTAGATATCTTGGAGAGCCCCCATTTTGATGACTCCTTATTGAAATGACCCAGTATGGAACAATCTGAAATAACCTCATAGAGTTAATATGACTGACTTTTCTTTGAGGTGGCTAGCATGCTAGCTGTTAGCTCGCCAGCTACAGTAGTTTAACAACTAGCCTTGCTAGTACTCTTCACATCCCCACTTCTAGAATCACATATTTTGCTGCGTCACTTTCTGGTCGTTGTGGTTTGTCTTCTTAATATTTTGCCTTTTTTGGGTATGTTATTATTTTATTAAACCCAATACTATGTGCTATAAAATTAAATTGGTTACTGTATTTATATTTGGCTGCGAATTGATTCTCTTACCTGTCAGCTAGCACAGCTGTTAGCTCGTATTAACATTGCTTGCCACATGTCTCTGCAGTTTCTGTTGGTTAAAGGTTGGCGTCTTACATGCGTCATAATGCGCAAAATGGTTTGACACTTCTCCTCTGTTAGCAAGTTATGTTTTCAGGGATGAAACTTAAAATATTCAATAGCCTGGTTTTAATTGGATTATTTCAGTTTTTGAGCAGACAGTAGATGTAAATACCTTATTGTCTATTTGTCCTAATTTACACGTTAGGTCTTCATTCAAGGTGTACTGACTGTACACCGAGGTCATCGAATGATCTCAGGATCAATAGCTTCACAGGCTATGAAACATCCTCATTATTCCCACCAGCACACAAGGCCACATGTTCCTCCCACTTCAACTCCTAATGTAAAGGTAATGGATGGACATTGTAATGTAGTACAGACATAGGAGAGGGTATTGTGAAGGAGACCTGAAGGGGAAGATGTGTATGTAACATGCCTAACAATGTGGTGTGGGAAACTCTTCTATAATTCTAAACATTTACTGTTCGGCTGCTTTTTCTCTTAACAGGTCATCTGGCATCCCATGCTGCTGAAAAGATGAAATTAGCTATTTGGAAATGAGCCCAGGTGTCTCAGTCTGGCTCATTTACACACATCACTATTTATGACCACTTCTCTGCGGGATGGTCTCTTAGCCAGCTTTCAAGCTCTTTCCTCTCAAGGCTTCAGTATACTCAAAATGAATGCAAATATGGTGTTTTCTCAAAGTCTGTAGAGTAAAGTGCTGCGTGCAAATTGCAGAATACCCACAGCGACTGGAGGTCAGTTCATCCCCACCAAAGTGAGTTGCAGTGAAGGAGGGGACGTTGGACATATTCCATTCATGAAATCCAAAACAATGGACAACAACCACTGATATTGAAGTTGCAGCTAATTACACAGGAGGAAGATGATGATACGGCAGTGGTACCACTGGCTTTTTGCCTTCATTTGATAATGATGGGAGAGATACAGGCGTGAGGTGGGTGCAACAACTCCTGCCTGCTTCTCCAAGCTGCAAGTGTGTCGACCATCATCTTCCTCTAGGTAATACACAGACTATGTATAAGTACCTCATACAACCTCACTTCAAAACAACCAAACTATCCCTTTAATCGTTGTCCTCCCAATTAGTGGAGATGGCCCTCTGTGCAGCAGCCCCATTGTGATTTAGGATTACGAAACAGGTGGCTTTTCTTGCCTACTGAAGCATTAAAGTGAAAATAATTGTTACATCCCCCGCACTGCCACTTAAGCAGAGGAAGTTTTCCAATGCCGTGCGTAATTTAGCACGGTCTGTCACACATTCAGTTTTAAACGCAGCAATCACTGTGAATTAAATTAAGTATTAACCTGATGAAAGGTTTTTAAAACCACTAAAGCAGCACGGTGTCCTAGTTTCATTGTCTATACCAAAGATACACACCGTCTGAGTGTGCAGTAAGTTTGAAAAACACTTAAAAAATACCAACATGCATATCGAAATCAGTCAATTAGACTTTTGACTGTGGAAGAGCAGATCATACAACAAGAAAACAAGTATTAATAATGTAAATAAATAATAATAAAAAACATGTTAAATAAAAGCTCTTGGATAAGAACTGCCGAAATGGTGTACTGCCAGTATTAGTATACACTGGAGGGGTTTTCAGTGTCTGACACTGAGCCCTGTTTTTTAAACCTACAGGTTTACATTTTGGCATCATTAAAAGTATGCCAAATTAGCTTTCAGTACTTCCTATATGACATGTACACATGGATGACAGCCATCACTGGATTATTTTGAAACTGAATAAAACTCATAAAAACCTGATGATTGTCAAGTTCTGGAGATAAAAGCGTCATTTTCATATGATTCTTAAGTGGGTTTATTGATGTTCATCGACATTGGAAATAATGATATCCTCGAGATTTCAGCATTCACTTATAATTGAGAATTAGCTGCTTAAGTACCTTCATTGGGGCCGAATCAGTGGACCAAACTACAATAACTGCCTTCCTGTTGTTTTTCAGAACACCAGCATGCACCTGTCCCTTTCATGTAATACAGTATCTTTGTACAATGCAAACACCCCGGCACAGCTTTGAGACAGAAGTTCAGATTTAGGTGCCATGGGCATCATTTCCTGAACAAAAGAATCCTTTAATCAGAGTGAAGGTAAAGGCCAAAGAGACGATCACTCCCGAGAACTTCTACACCCTGTTTACTTACTTCTGCAAGACTGTGTAACAGCAGATTACAGTATGCGTTTTAGTGTATGTTATTTTGTGTGTTATGTTATCTTTTAATTACAAACATGCCAGAAGTGTTTTGCAATAATTATCGTTCATCCTTCTCTCCGCCTTTCTTTGGGAGCTTCTGTGGATTAACTGCATTATTCCAACAGTAAGATCAGAAACAAACACAGACACAGAAGGTTCATGTTGTAATGACAGCAGAGTCGGCAAGGCTGTTTTTAGTGTGTAATCCCTCCAAACTCTCACATTTGTTGTTAAATTCCAGTAATCTCATCCCATGTAATCAGTCACCCTGCAGAATAAGCAGTGCAGAGAGCAGGAAGAGAAACATAAGCAGTGAAAAGAGTGATTTTAGGGGCACAAACTAAATGGTTTACAAAACTAAAGAAGAGGCCTCTCACTCCCACTCATGTACCAGCAGCGGTCGGGCACGCTGAATCAACTGAGATGATAACGCAACCTTCTGCAACACTAACTAGATTGCAAAATCTACCCCAGAAGGAACATCGATATTAATCCTACAGCACAATTATAATTTGATCTATTCTGTTACTGCGTTTGAACTTGTGTGCTCTAAAATATAAAGAAACAAAATTGGGTGTAAATGAGACTTTTTTAGTTTTTTTAGATTTGTTCTTTCTTTGTCATGGACAAAACCGGGACTGGCTAAAGCACAGTCTTAAAGGCATAGTTAAGGGGTCGTCTCTGCAAGAGGTGAACTAGCAGAGCAGCTGACCTTTACGAAGTAGAACAAAATGTATACCCTGCTCCAACACTAATGTCTCTCTATCATCAACAGCTGCAGCTAAAAAGTGTATATTTTTCACTTTCTCAATGTTAATAAAGAATAATGAGGACTCGCATGGTAATTATGATTACAGTTTTCACTGTGTGGAACTGGTAATTGGCCAAATCAGCTCCAAACGCCCTCTCTGTCTGTGACTTCGGCTCGGCTCTGCCAGGCAGCCAGCGTGAGGTTGTAATTAGCTTGGCTCAGCTTTGGCATCACCCATCACAGTGCCAAACTCTTAGATAATTATTGGAGTGGCGAGGGCTCTTTAAGTTCAGTGATCAATGTATTTTTTTTGCTGTCTGACGGGCCTAGTTCTGGTATCTGTGTATGGTGTTGGTGTGTTTGGACAAATAACAATTTAAATGCAAAAGAAAACCCCCAAAAAACAATATGACACATTTGCTTGCGGCTGGTGCACTATTCTGCTTGTTGTTGTTCCATTAGCAGGATTTAACTGTTTTATGTCAAACAAGTTTTGAGTTGTGCAAAGATTTACCTTGACGTCTCAAACGGGGAAGGAAAAAGTGCAAACATATTCAAGTTATACGACCATGTAACAAAAAAAACAGCCACGCCATCATCTCAGAACGCCCCTGTGCATATTAAGTGTGCACGTTTAAAGTCTTTTTGCTTACAAAATGGAGACAGATGCTAAATAAAGTGTGATTCTGTTGCTTATCTGCCAAAGTAATAAATAAAAGGTGAACCAACAATTAGATTTTTAAGCTATAAATTCAAATGCCTTAATTGATTGAGCCCTTC